GGACCCGGCCCCGCGCCCGCCCACCGGCCGGCTCCACCTGCCGCTCCCCGGCAGCGCCCCTCGACCCCCTAATTGGCTGCGGGCGCTCCCCGGCTCCGCCCGTCGCCGCAGGGCACTCTGGAAACTGTAGTCCCCTCGCACCTCCCGCCGCGGGCTACGGCTAGGGCGTGGGAGAGTTTAGGGAGCCCTCGGGCTGGACTGTCCCAGGCTTGGGGGGCTAGCTGCGCCGCGTGGCTGCCGAAACGTCTGTAGGAGAGAGGGGACAGCGAACGGGGTTTCGCGAGCGCCCACTGATTGTTGTCAGCACCAAGAAGGGGAGCCCGCATTGGATCTTCGGTCGCGCCCCTCAACCACCCTGCGATGCGACCCCCTCGCCCCCTTCTCCGACCGGGACGCCGGGCTGGCAAGGGCCCTTGGCCCGGGGCACTGTGGCCGCCGCGGGCCCCTCGGCGCGATGCTGCCTCCTAGCGCGAGACGCAGCTCCTCGCCCCGCGGCCAGTCCCCGAGTCCGGTTTCCCCACGCGCGTCCTCTTCCCGGGGGCTCCCCCTCCGAGACCCTTCAACTGCCAGGACTGGAGTGTGGGAGAAGGAGCCCTTGAGACGTGGTTTCGTGTGCTTCACGGCGGGCTAGCAGTTACATTTGCAGGTGAATAAAAACACTTTCATTTCTTAAGATTTCTCTATTTGAAAAAAGCACAGATAAATTTAAAAAGGACGAAGCACATTACAGATAAAATTAAAGTCGGCTTCCGCCACCGTCACCCCCAGTCTCACTTCGCTGCCACCGTTAGCTGTTGGGTCCCAGCAGGCAGTGTAAATGCGTTCATCTGAATCTGCTAGGTGGGGTCCAACCGCGCATGCCGGGGTGGGCGACCCGCAAGGCTCAAGGCCCTAACTGTCGCCTCGGTCACACTCCAACGGCCCCGCCCCCAGAGAGCATCAGGGTGGAGACGTGTTGGAACTTGGTGGGAAATGGCCCTTGAGCAGCGTGCCTACAGCGAGGGTCGCTTTACGTTGGGGAAGCCAGAGAGGAATCCTGAGAGGCTGGCGGTCTGGGCAAGAACGCCCCCGAACCGAGCCCCGCGGCCCCGTCTCCCCATAGCTTAACGAGGCGTGGGCAGTTCAGGGCCTCCCTTTCACCAACAGACGCAAATGTCCGTGGGCCAGTCCCTGGGCCAGCCTCCCAGGCCAGCACAGGTTTTTCACTGGTCTCGCCTTTGGACAGCTACCCAGGGGCCAGGGGGACACAGGGAGATGGAGGACGTGAACATCCTGGAAACCAGGGGGTGGGCACCCCGATATACCGCTGGGTGATATACCGCTGGGTGATATACCGCTGGGTGATGTCGGGTAGGAAGCACAGGTGGAGAGACCATTCAAACATCGGTCCAGTGAAAGAAGCCAGAGCAGAGACCAGTTACATAATGCCATTTATGTGAAATGCCTAGAAAAGACAGGCCCACAGAGACAGAAAGTAGACTAGTGGTTGCCCGGGGCTGGGTGTGAACTGGGGATTAGCTGGAAATGGACAATGAGGAATCTTATTAGGGAGAGGAGAATGTTCTAGAACTAGAGTACGGTGATGAGTTCACGACCCAGTAAATTTACTCAGTCATTGAATTGTAAACGTTTCACTTTTGTCAGTGGGTGACTTGCGTATGTGCATTATGTCTGAGTAACGTAGGAAAAGCAGAGAAGCTCAACCAAACCAAGCTACTTCTTTGAAATGAGGAATAGATAAGAGTAGTTGAAAAGAGAAAAGAGAGAAAAAATATTCACTAGAGGAAATGAAAGGGGAACATGGTGTCAGATACTTCTGAGATTTCAAAATCTCGAAATCCTATATAGATTTTTGCTATCGGCTGTGTTCGCTCGCTGGAGGCCAGAAAGACAGAGACAAAAAGTGAGAAATTACCCCCCGGGGGCATGGCCATGCCGCAATCCCTTCTCCTCCATTCTCCTCCTGGGATTTTGGGCACACGCACTGGTGTTTCTAGCAGCCAGGTCAGGGACTCAAACTGCTCTACCATGTGGGAGTCCAGCACCTTTATCACTGCACCACCTGCCGGCCCCATAATACTGTGTTTAAGTTTACCTATGTGTTCCACGAGAGCCAGAGAGAGAAGCACCTCAACGGGGTCTCCGTGCAGCAGTCCACGGGGCTCAGCCAGCCCAGGGTGCAGAGGGAGGTCCCAGAGCCACACCCAGGGCTTCCTGTGAGTCCGGCTGCCTTATCCCTGCACCACCAGGCCCCTAAAATGGTATAAATACATATGTAGTTACATATGAAATATTTCCAGTAGGGCACATGTGCTCACCAGAGAGACAGAGAGACAGAAGGCAAGAAATCACCCCCTGGCAATTTTTTTTTAAGTTTCAGTTAGTCCAATTACATTGATATCATCAGTCTACTTTTTAAAAAGAATTATTTATTTAATTTTACTTACTTTTTTATTTAATTTGCTACTGAGCATGCACTCTCACTAGAGAGAAACAGAGAGAGAGAGAGAGAGAGAGAGCAAGCCGCCAGGCACAGGACTCAGACCGCAGTTGACCATGTGGGGGTCCAGAGCAGAGCCTTACCCCCCACACCACCGGCTGGCCTCTCATCAGCCTTTCTAATTGCAGCCATTGGAGTGGGCGTGCAGACATAAGGGCAAGTTCTCGTTTCCTCTGCACTCTCGCTTACGGCCTTCACGATTTCAGCAAACACGTGGGGCACCTACACCCACGACTCTCTGGTACTGCAGACGCCAGCTGGTGCCCCCAGGTTGCTTCCGTTCTGACACATCTGCCTGGGTTCACACAGACCCCAAACAAAGGGCTCATCCCATTAAGGATGCCAGACACAATCCAGGTGGTCACCTGAGGTTTTCACAGATGGGTCATAAATCAGAGGCTCCCACGACCCCCTCCCGGGGTTCATCTGCGAGATCGAAGGCAGTATTCTTGCCATACTACTGGCTCAGAATAGGGGACCAGTCAGGAGCAGCCTGGAACAGATGCACAGGCGAGTTAGGTGCAGGCGAGGGGTCCGGGGCACCCACATCCCCACTGCACATGCATCCTCCCGGCGACTCCGGGTGTCCACCAGCCCAGAGCTCTGGAGGGTCCCTTACACAGGTGCAACTGATCACCCCCCAGGGAGATGGCCACACCTCAGTCCCTTCTCTTCCATTCTCTTCTCCAGATTTTGGGCACACACGCACATGGGCCCAGCATGAGTCTTAAACTGCCAGGTCCAGGACTCGAACCACAGTCAACTACGTGGGAGTCCAGCAAAGGAACCATTATGTCATCTGCTGGTCCCTAAAATAAATACATTTTTAAAAAATGCATGCTAGGTAACTCACCCAGAGTTGAGCCTGAGTCGCCGGCTCTTCAGCGTGAGCACAGCCATAAAGCCATACTGCCCTTTGTCCCCCTCCTGCCATTTGGGGTGCAGAGTGTGAGCAGTGCTCCAGCAGGTGCTCTTGGGCTGAGTCAGGGAACAGTCATTGGGGAATGCACATAAACATCACTGAGTCCTGCCAGCAGGCGGCAGGGAGGTTAAGGCGGCTGGATCCCACATGGCCAACTGTCCCGGACCCAGCGTATATGCCCAAAATCCCAAGAGGAGAATGGAGGAGAAGGAACTGCATTGTGGCCATTCTCTGGGGGGCTTTCTCTTTCTCTCACTCTCTCCTCCTGAGTTAGTGCAGAGAGACTTATACCAAATACATTTTTTTAAAGAATTATTGATTTTATTTATTCATTCTTTCTTTTCTTTTTTTTAAAATTTATTTAACTTGACCAGAGAAAAACAGACTCACAGAAGGAAGGAAAGTGAGAAAGCAAGCCACTAAGTCCAGGACTCGAACAGTGGTCGGTCATGTGGGAGTGTCCAGCACCCTAACCACCACGCCACCTGTTGGTCCTGCAAATATATATATATTTTTTTTTTTTTGAGAGATTTTCGCTATAGGGCGCGTACGCTCGCCAGACAGACAGAGAGAGACAGAAAGCGAGAAATCACCCCCAGGGGGGATGGTCACTCCGCAATCCCTTCTTCTCCATTCTCCTCTTGGGATCTTGGACACGCACGCACACATGCCTGGCGTGAGTTTTAAGCCACCGGGTCCGGGACGCGAACCGCGGTTGACTACGTGGGAGTCCAGAGACATAGCCATTACACTAACTGCTGGTTCCCGCAAATATATTTTTTAAAGCAATGTTCCTTTAAAATTCTAATGGCCCAAAGTAGGGATGAAGACTCCAGACTTCGGTTATGCCCATTAGGTAACAACGACCCTGAATGAGACCCTAAGATTTCCAAAATGCCCATTAAAAGGAAAGGTCAGGTTTTCACTTAAATTCCTAGGATGCTGGGCTAGCCCCAAAGGCTAGCAGCTAAAGGAGCCAGAGCCCTCATGCCCAACGCTGGTTTGATTCCTGGCACCAGCGGCCTGAAAAACACCACAGGTGTGACCGTGCACCCACATGCCCCACATCCTGGCATGAAGTAGAGAAGCGAGTGCTGCATGACCCCCTGGTAGGGGCGCTCTCTCCGTCTCTCTCTGTCTCTCGCTGGCACACCCGCCCCGCGGGAGGAGGAAACATTAAGGAGAGCAGCAGACATGGACGCACCCACGCGGGCCCTGTCAATGCGACGCCCTGCGCCCCCGGGGGACCTCGTAGAGCCTTCGCCAGCAAGGAGATGCACATCACCAGACATGGCCCCTTGACCTCGTCTCCAACACAATGAGCCGAATAAGCTCTTATTGTTTATTAAGCAAAAAAGAAATTGGGGACCAGCAAGTGGTGTGGTGGTTCAGGCACTGGACTCCCACATGGCTAACTGAGGTTCAAGTCCCAGGCCTGGTGACTTCTCATCCCTTCCACCCGGTCTCTCTCTAGTGAGCGCGTGTGCCTATAGCAAATTGAAAACTAATAATAAATACAATTTTAAAAGTAATTCTTTCAAAAAAATTTTTTTTCATTGTTGAGCCAGCCTCAGGACTAGTGGTTGAGGGAGCTGGATCCCACACGGCTGACCAGGGGTTCTGAGCCTCAGACCTGGCTGCGTGTGCATGCCCCCAAGGCCTGCCAAGACGGAGAAACGGAGGCTGGCACGACCACACCCCGCTGGCAGGTGCCCTCCCCCTCACTCTGTCTCTCTCTGGCAAGCACACGTGCCCTCTGGCAATGAAACAAAATCCTCAGGAGTTTAAGTGTACAGTTGGGTGTTAACTGGTCTTACGTCATCCCAGGAAATAGCATGTTTATTTACAAGTGTTTTGTTTGAGATGGTTGTATTCGGTTGTCGGAAAAGTCATGCCGTATTTTCCTATGCTTTCTATGCAAAGATGTGTCATGACTTTTCCAACAGCCCAATGCACACATCCACCGGAAAGGGCGACTGTGGTTTTGCTTTCTCGCAAAGCGCTTTGTAAGGCTTGAAACCAGGATCTCGCCAGTTTCACAGAAGAGTGCATGGTCTATAGTGGACTTTGCATAGGACGGCTGTTCTGTGTCTCTCCAGTGTTTAATAGGACTCCCCTGTGAAGCCAGCATGCATGGAGCTTTCTCTGGGGGGAGGTTTTCAGTAACAGTTTTAACAGTGTCGGATCCACCCCGGAATGGCCTTTAGGAAGTAAGGAGATGTTAAAGCACCTTTGGCCAGAACCCTCCAGCCACAGCCCTCCCTCACTGGCTCACTGGCAGCCGGCAACCTAGGCGCCCACCCCAGCCAGTCCATCTAAGTGAGGTGGGAGTGTTGGGCGAGCAGATCCAACGCTATGTTGCTCTCGTCCTCCGCTCCGGAAGAGTTAGAGAGGCGGGACAAGGAGGAGAGGAGAGGGAGTTTAATAGGAAGGAGAGAGCTCCGAGGTAGTGGAAGGGGCCCCAGTGGGGTGCGGAAGTGCAGCTGGAGGCCGAGGGTTCTCGCTGGCCGTCTGAGCAATAGGCTGGCTTTCTGGAAGGGAAGAGGGCGTGGGCGAGTGGCTGCATGGTAGGCTGAGTGATTTGTTGCCTATTCTTCGCGGGCTCAGCGGACCATAGTGCCCGGTACTCCTGGTGAGAATAGAGTTCCTGGGCACCACGGCGGCTGTGCGTCCCAGTCAGCCCGCTGTCGGCTATGAAAACTCAGCCGCTGCGACTCCATCTTGGCCTTTGCCCAGACCCTGTGCTCGACATCCCCATCTCCGGCGGTCAGTGGGGGTCATCAATCCATCGCGCTCACGAGCCAGACCATGGACTTTGCCAAATAGAAAACGCAGTGGCCTCCTTTTAGGGCCCTTACCCCATCGATCTGTAAGGGCGCCTAACTCGGATCTCAGAAGTACCCGCCATGCTCCTGCCCCTGCCCCGCCCCTCCACCCCTCCCCTGTAAGTACATCCGGTCTCCTCAGCGGGGGACGAAGCACACCACCGAACCATGACAAACCAAGATCTGGGCTATTTAGACTTTTTCTTTTTTAATTATTTATTTAATTGTATTTGTTTATTATTTTTCTTCAATTTGACCAGAGCAACAGAGAGAGAGAGAGAGTGCCAGAGGGAGAGTCAAAAAGCAAGTCGCCAGGTCCGGGACTTGAACCATGGTCGGCTATGTGGGAGTCCATACAGAGAGGAAGATAAGGCAAGTGAGAAGTACCCCCGAGGGGATGGTCACACCACAATCCCTTGTACTCCAAGCTCCTCGGGATTTGGGCATGTTTTTCAAACTGCCAGGTCTGGAACTCAAACTGCACTCTCTGTCATGTGGAATCCAATCACCTTAACCTCCACACCACCTGACTGGCCTCTAGATATTCTGTTTCGTTGTGTTGTGTTTTGTTGTTGTTGTTGTTAACATTTATTTACTTATCTATTTATTTGTTGTAATTTTCAAGGCACTGGATCTAGGACTCAAACCATGGTCAGCCATGTGGGAATCCAGCACCTTAACCATCATGCCACTTGCTGGCCCCAGATGTTCTATTTTTTAATGCTATTACTATTATTATTTTTTTTAATAATTATTTGATTTAACTTCATTTATTTTAATTCAATAGGAGAGGGACAGAGAGAGAGAGAGGTACAGTGAGAAAGCAAGCTGCCAGGTCCAGGACTTGAACTGTGGTCAGCCATGTAGGAGTCCAGTGCCCTTAACCACTGCACCACCTGCTGGTCCCAAATGCTATTATTTTTGTAAGTTGTACACTTTTAAGAATTGTTCATTTCATTCAAATTGTGTAAGGTCTTAAGGAAGACTGGGCTTGGAACATCCCCTAAGGCCTTCAAAAGCCCTTAATCTTCCTTAAATTGCAGACATGAGCAAAATTTAACTTGGGTCAGCTTAACCTGGGTCATTTCTGATAAATGCTTGGATTGGGCAAAATTGAAGCTTTAACTCCAGCCAGTCACGGGCAGCCATACGATCTGTGATTATGAGACTCCAGCAAGTTACTAGTAAAAGGCAATTTTGTAATTGCAAACCAATCAAATGATTTCTGCTTCACATCTACATTTCCCCAATAAATATGCACCTGTGACGATTAGTCATGGGAATCCTGGACCTCTTACAGGCAGATGCTCCCCAACCCGTGAACGGCTTCCAGCTTCTTACTCAAACTCTTTACAATTGTATTGTGCCTCAGATCTTTTTTAAGGGTTTTTGCCATAGGGTGTCACCTGCCTGAGGAGACAGAGAAGGAAAGTGAGAAATCACCATCCCCAGGGGGTGGCCACACCACAATCCCTTCTCCATCCTCCTCTAGCAGTTTGGGCACACGTACACAGGCATCTGGCATGGTTTTCAAGTCACTAGGTCCAGGACTTGAACCATGGTCGACCATGTGGGAATCCAGCACCTTAATCACCATGCCATCTGCTAGCCCCAATAAATAACATTTTTTAAAGAATTATTTTGTTTAACTTTATTTATCCATTTAAATTTGACAGAAAGGGACAGAGTGAGAGAAAAAGAGAGGGAAAGTGAGAAAGCAAGCCACCAGGTTTGGGACTCAACTGTGGTTGGCCATGTGAGAGTCCAGCGTCCTTAACCACCACGCCATCTGCTGACCCCCTAATAAATAAATTTTTGAAAATTAAAAAGAGGGGCCAGTGGGACCAGTAGAAGACATAAGGATTATGTCGCTGGACTCATACTGGGTGGGGGACCAGCAGATGGCGTAATGGTTACATTGCTGGACTCCCACATAGTTGACTGTGGTTCAAGTTCCAAACCCGGTGACTTAAAACTCACACCAGGTGTGTGTACATGCCTGCCTAAGATCCCAAAAGGAGAATGTATGAGAAGGGATTACGGCGTGGCCATCCCCCCCGGAGGGTCATTTCTAGCTTTCTGTTTCTCCAGTGAGTGCACGTACTCTATACTCTCTCAAAAAAAGAAAAAAGAAAAAAGAAAAGAAAGAAACTCATGCCAGGTACCATGCGTGCGTGCCCAAATTCCTGAGAGGAGAAAGGACTGTGGTGTGGCCATCCCCACTGGGTCTGATTTCTTGATTTCTGTCTCTGTCTCTCCAGTGAGTGCACGTGCTCCATAGCAAAGATCTCTCTGGGAAAAAAAAAAGGAGTAGCAGGTGGCATAGTGGTTACATGGCGGGACTCCCACATGGCCAACTGCGGTTTCAGTTCTGGACATGGTGACATGGTGGCTTGAACATTCACAGCAGGCGCGTGTGCATGGTGCCCAGGATCCTAGGAGGAGCAGCGCGGCCACCCCGAGGGGGTGAGTCCTCACTTCCGCTCTCTATCTGCCTCTCTCTGACAAGTGCATATGCCCTATGTATGGCCAAAAAAGAAAGAGAAAAGAAAGAAAGAAAGAAAGAAAGAAAGAAAGAAAGAAAGAAAGAAAGGAAGGAAGGAAGGAAGGAAGGAAGATTCTTTGTTTGCCTTTTTTTTTTCTTTTTAAATGCTATAGGATGCACAGGCTTGTCAGAGAGAGAGAAAGTGGGAAAGCACCCAGGGGAGGTGGACACGCCACAAACCCTTCTCCATGCTCCTCGCAGGCGCCCTTGGGCATATACACAACTGGTCGGAAGTGAATTTCAGGCTGCCGTTTCTTATGCCTAAACCACATAGTTGGCCATTTCAGATCTAGTCACCTTCACTACCATGTCACCAGCTGGCCAAAAGATCTTTCCTTTTCTTCAACTATATTTTATAGCACTAGGTTTTTAAAGTATTTCCACGTATTATTCCATGAAAAATTGCTGGGATCAGCAGTTGGTGTAATGGCTATGTCGCTGGACTCCCATGTAGTCAACCGTGGTTCCAGTCCTGGACCTGGTGGCTTAAACTCACGCCGGGTGTGTGTGCGTGCCCAAGATCCCGAGAGGAGAATGGAGGAGAAGGGATTGCGGCGTGGCCACCCCCCCTCCGAGGGGGTGATTTTTCAGTTTCCGTCTCTCTGTCTTTCTGGTGAGTGTACGTGCCTTATAGCAAAATCCTCTCAAAAAAAAAAAAAAGGTTTTCTTTTCTGCCTTTTTAAAGTTTTTGACACAGGGCACGTGCACTCATTGGAGAAGAGAGAGACAGAGAAAGTGAGAAATCACCTCCTGGAGGCATTCTCCTTCTCTTCCATGCTTCTTCTAGGACTTTGGTCACACATGCACATGTGCCCAGTGTGAGTTTGAAGTTGCCAGGTCCAGGACTAGAACCGCGGTTGGCCATGGGGAAGTCCAGCACTGTCCTGCTGTTAGGGTTCAGAGTAAGACTCAGGAGACACTATCTCAAGGGGAAAAGGAAAGTTTATAGGGAGAAAGAGCGGGGCCCAGCAGATGGCGTAATGGTTGCGTCGCTGGACTCCCATGCAGTTGACCATGGTATATGTCCCAAATGATGTGGCTTAAACTCACGCCAGACGCGTGAGCAGGCGTGCCAAAGTCCTGAGAGGAGAGTGGAGGAGAACAACTGCAGCATGGCCATCCCCCCAGGGTGTGATTTCTTGCTTTCTCTCTTCCTGTCTCTCTGTCTCTCTGGTGAGTGCATGTGCCCTACAGCGAAAATCTCTCTAAAACAAAGGGAGAAAGAGCCTCCAGGGGTCTGAAACAGGAGGTCCTGCTATAGGGCACGTGTGCACGCCAAAGAGAAACAGAGAGAGAGAACAACTCCCAAGGAGGGTAGCTACCCTGCAATCCCTTCTCCATCTTCCTCCTGGGATTTGGGGCAAGCACACACATGCACCCGGTGTGATTTTCAACCTGCCAGGTCCAGGACTCAAACCGTGGTTGGCCACGTGGGAGTCCAGCACCTTAACCGCCACGCCACCTGCCGGCCCCTGCTGTGACACTTTTTTTTTTTTTTGGAGAGGTTTTTCACTATAGGGCGCATGTACTCGCCAGACAGACAGAGAGACAGAGAGACAGAAAGCGTGACCCAGGGGGGTCACCCCAGGGGGGATGGTCACGCCGCAATCCCTTCTCCTCCATTCTTCTCTGGGGATCTTGGGCACGCACGCACACACGCCCGGCGTGAGTTTCAAGCCACCGGGTCCGGGACGTGAACTGCGGTCGACTACGTGGGAGTCCAGCAACATAGCCATTATGCAAACTGCTGGTTCCCATCCCTGCTGTGACACTTTGACCTTTACTGCTGCCAGGTCTCAGCTACTGCTGCCAACATTCCGGTTCCGAGGCAGGATTGTCTTGTTGCAGGTTCCAGTGCCCTCTGCTTACAGAGCACCGAGATGAAACTGAAGCCAGGCTCGTTCCTGTGGTTCCTCTACCTGGACCAGATCTACTGCCTGCTGTCCGTGAGGAACCTCAAGGCCCTGGTGGAGTACTTCCACATCCTCGACGCGCATCGCAGGAACTCTCTCAACGGTCAGTCTCTTCAGACGCGGCTCCCCTGGGTCAGTACTTGGGTTTTGAGGTCAAAGACAGTTTGGTGGGGGGAATACTGCAGCTCTGGGACCAGCAGATGACATAATGGTTACGTCACTGGACTCCCACATGGCCGAACACAGTTCGCGTCCCAGGCCTGGTGGCTTCAAACTCATGACAGGCACATGGGTGTGCATGCCCAAGATCCCAGGAGGAGAATGGAGGAGAAGGGACTGTGGTGAGCCATCCCCCTGGGGGGTGATTTCTCGCTTTGTCTCTCTGTCTCTGTCATTGTCTCTCTCCAGTGAGTTCACATATCCTATAGTAAAAAATCTATTTAAAAAAATTGCAGCTCTCGGGGTAAATCCTGACTCTTCCTTTATTCTTTGGTGATCTGGAAAATGTCATTATCCTTTTATTATTATTATTGAGAGAGATTTTTGCTGTAGGGCACATAGCGCTCACCAGAGAGACAGAGAGGGGCAGAGAGACAGAAAGCCACCAGAGAGACAGAGAGGGGCAGAGAGACAGAAAGCGAGAAACCACTCCTCGGGATGGCCACACCACAGTCCCTTCTCCCCCATTCTCCTCTTGGGATTTTGGGCACGCACGGGCACACACGCACACGCACCTGCTGTGATTGTTAAGCCTGACAAGTGCACAGGACTTGAACTGTGGTCGACTCTGTGGGAGTCCAGAGATATAACCATTATGTCATCTGCTGGTCCCTTTTATTTACTCATTTATTTATTTTATATTTTCGGTGAACTGACCTTTATTTATTTATTTATTTATTTTTGGAGAGGTTTTCGCTACAGGGCATGTGCGCTCGCCAGAAAGACAGAGAGAGACAGAGAGATAGAAAGTGAGAAATCACCCCCAAGGAGGGATGGCCACGCCGCAATCCCTTCTCCTCCATTCTCCTCTCGGGATCTTGGCACGCACGCACATGCACCTGGCGTGAGTTTAAGCCACCAGGTCTGGGACACGAACCGCGGTCGACTACATGGGAGTCCAGCGACATAGCCATTATGCTAACTGCTGGTCCCAAACTGACCTTTATTTTATTACCTTACCTTCATGCATGAATGCCTTGAAATAAGTTTTCTTTCAATAAACCCATTTTTACTCAGCAAAATTCAAAGAGGAAACATTAGGCCTTTCTGGTGTAGGAAAAGCCTTCCAACAGTCCCTATGTGATTCTCACAAAATAAAAAATGGACCCTAGGGTTGCACAAGTTTTGCTTAATTTTACCAGGCACCAAGATGTGCCGCAATGGTTAAGGAAGGAAGAGGCTAGTTACCAAAAAAGTTACTAGTTCAACGGTGTAGTGCAGTCTGAGAACAGCCTGCTTATTTACTGACCAGACGACAAAAACAGTCGTGGTGGGACCTCAGATCATCCTCCTAATACGTCTGTCCCAGCACGCCCACCTTCTGCAAATGGTGGTCTTGTTCTTCATTCCGGCTCATGGAGGTCATTCGAAGGGCCGCAGGAAGTTACTGGCTTCTCTGAAGCGTTTCCCAACAGTACAGATTTCATGATTCAGATCCTCCATGCAGATGATGCCGAATTTACCAAGAGATCGCGTAGTTATCTGTCAAAGCGATTCGCTTCTTATTAACTTTGCCATCACCACGTTTGTAGATCAATTCATTTGCTGACTTCAGGTTCGGGTACCCCCATGCAACATATGGTCCCACAATCCTCAGCATGTGAATCGAGGCCTTGCTGAGCTTAGCAAAGGCGCCACTGGAGATGGGCGAAGACCAAGAAGCTGCAACACCTTTCGAACCTTTGGGCTCACTCCATAGATACCTCTGATCCTGGTGACAAACGCCAATTTGGGTTCTGCAGGTACACAGAAGTTCCAGCGTTTCTTGCCATCCTGGCCACGGGAGCCTGAGTTCTGTACACCTGTCTGTATTCCTTAAGACAGCGCTTAGCTTATTCATTGCCTTTCGAAGCATCTTTTGAGCAAATTCTTTCTCAAGTACTTGATCTTCAGCTCCGCAAAATTCCTTCTCATTTTCTGAAAGGTTTCGGGCACATCAGGAACCCTCTTCTTGGTGGCTTCTGCCAGAGCAGGGGCCTTTTTTTGTTTTGTTTTCTGTTGCAACAAGAACCTTCTTTTTCTTCTCTTGAACGCCCTCCATCATGGTTCCAGCCAGAAAAGAGTTATCTTTTTTTTTAAAAAATCATTTAATTTAATTTATTCATCATTTATTTTAATTTCACCAGACATACACACCAGGGGAGGGGTGGGGAGTGAGAAAGCAAGCTGCCAGGTCCAGGACTTGAACCGCGGGCAGCCATGTAGGAGCCCATTACCCTTAACCACCATGCCACCTGCCGGCCCCAACACCACTTGCTGAGTGTTTACTATGTGTCAGGCACTAGGCTAAGCATTTGCCGTACATCGCATCATTAAATTCTTTTCTGTCCCAACTATGAGTTGAACTCCATTAATAGCCTCACTTAGAGTTGAGGAAAACGAGACTTAAGAGATGACAGGGCCAGCAGGTAGTGTAGTACCTAAGGCTCTGGACTCCCACATGGCCAGCCATGATTCGAGTCCCGGATCCAGCAGCTTGAAACTCACGCTGGGTGCATGCGTGCGTACCCAAAATCCTAAGAGGAGAATGGACGAGAAGGGTGTGGCCATCCCCTCTGGGTGCGATTTCTCACTTTCTCTCTTTTCATCTCTCTATCTTTCCAGGTGAGTGCACATGCCCTATAGCAAAAATCTCTCTCTCTCTAAAAAAAAAAAAAAAAAAAGAGGATTCCCCCATGG